GGGTAATTATTAAGATAGGGTGCTCGCCAAGGATTGGGGCCCTTGTGCCTACGTATCTTCACTTGTAAGAAGTGGAAAATCAGAGCGTTCGTAGTTTGTGGGACTACGGGTAAAGAGGGGATTGTGCTCGCCAAGATCGTCGCAATCTTGTGCCTACGTATCTTCACTTGTAAGAAGTGGAAAATCAGAGCGTTCGTAGTTCGTGGGACTACGGGTAAAGAGGGGATTGTGCTTGCCAAGATCGTCGCAATCTTGTGCCTACGTATCTTCACTTGTAAGAAGTGGAAAATCAGAGCATTCGTAGTTCGGGGGACTACGGGTAAAGGTTTGGGAAATGTGCTCGCCAAGATCATCGCAATCTTGTGCCTACGTATCTTGCATTCAAGAGGGAATGAAGAATCAGAGCAGCCGTAGTTCGGCTTACGGTTAAAAAGGTTTGGAAACGAACGAGTGTTTAGGTCGCATTCTAACTGCTAAACATTGGCTTGTCTGCTCGCTAGGGGAGGCTGAAGCACGAGTTTGTTATGCGCGGAAGAAGGGACTAAACAATGTTTTTGGTAAAAGGTATTTAGGTTGGAGATCACACGAGGGCGAGGAATTTAGTGTTTATCGTATTGGATGTTTTGATTTTAGGAAAGAGAATGGATCAGAATAGGTTTAAGGTTTCGATTGCACGGGGGCAAAGGAATAGTGTTTAGATGTATTGTATGCTTAGCTAGAGGTGACGATTACCTGAAGCTTAAGAAAGACTTCTCGGACCCAAGTAATCGAGAAAGTGAACCAAAGACTTGGAGCTCTCTCTTTTTTCAACCTCAATTGCGAGAGGATAGAATGTGGTTTGAATGGGTTAATCGGATGACGATTACTCGAAGCTCGAGAAAGACTCCTCGGTCCCTAAGTAATCGGGAGAGTGAACCAAAGACCTGGAGCTCTCTCTTTTTCATCTAAGTGTTAATGGAATTGGGTACGAGTGAGTGAATCGGATGACGATTACTCGGAACTTGAGAAAGACTTCTCGGACCCAAGTAATCGGGAAAGCGAACCAAAGACTTGGAACACTTTCTTTTTCATCGCAAAAGGAATTGTTTGAATGGCACTCGAAAGATAGTATGTAATTAAAGTATTTTAACAGATGAGGATTAATCGAAGCTTAAGAATGACTTCTCGGACCTCAAATAATCGGAAGAGTGAACCAAAGACTTGGAGCTCTCTCCTTTTCTCATCTAATATATAAAAGATATTTAATATGATTAGAGTGTATTAATCGGATGAAGATGGTTCAAAGCTCAAGAAAGACTTCTTGAATTTTAAATAATCGGGAAAGCAAGCCAAAGACTTGGAACACTCTCTTTTTCATCCTGGGTGTTTAGAAAAGGTTTGAATAAATTTATCGTTAGAAGGGTTTTTTAGAAGACAATTGTTCGAGCTTAAGAAAGACTTCTCGGACCCAAACAATTGGGAGAGTGAACCAAAGACTTGGAACTCTCTCTTTTTCATCTTTTATTGAAATTGTGTTTAAATAGTTATTAAGTATTTTAGTTTGATTTGAAGAAAATTGCTTGATATGAATCAAGGTTTGAAAATTGCGTGAAACAACTTAAGGTTTTTCAGGAAAATAATTGTTTAAGTATGAAGAAGACTCCTCACACTTAAACAATTGGACAAGTGAACTGAGAGAGAGAATAGAATACTCTAACCTCTCTTTTAATCAAATAACTTTGAAGATGATTTGAGAAAATGCTTGAGATTTAAACTTGCGTTTTAACGTATGCACTAGCAAAGTGGGCTAGTCTTCTAAGTGACCAATTAGAAATAATTGATCAAATAGGTATCACTGTAAGGAAGCCCAGGATTAAGCTTTAAAATGTTGTGTCTGTGACCAAAAGGTTGATGGCGAGGCTTTGAAAGCACTCGACTTACAAAGGTAGAAGATGGCTCGATAAATCGAGAATTTATTTTGAAAAAATGGTTTTGAAGTATTAAAGTATAAATAAAATAAAAGTGTTCAAAGAAATTATTACATTTTGGGAATTAGGGTACATTATTCGAATGGAGATGGAAGATAATGAAATATATAAACCGAACTTACCCGAATAAATGTATGTCGTAGTGCCGTGGAACCTATCTGATGTGTAAGAACTTCTAGTGGCATAATGGTATTGACCCGGTCTTATCCAACAAAAGTCAAATTGATCAAGGTTTATTAAATCATTTAATTATACTAATCCGAATTAATTATTAAAATTATTCGATTAAATCAAATAATTAAATTAATTAAAATTGATTAATAAAGTTAAATAATTAAAATTAGATCAATCAATTAATTAAGCTAGTTAAATTTAATTATCAAAATTATCCAACTAAACCGAATAATCAAGTTAATTAAAAATAATTAGCAAAGTTAATTAACAGAAATTCAAGTTAATCAATCAATCTTCCTTAAAACTAAATTCAAGACAAAGCAACAAATGCCTCCATTACCTCCATGAGGTACATATGCTCACATCTTCGCAGCAACAGTATGCTATAAGGCTTTCTGTAAACCGGGGCAAACATCTTCACCTTTGAAAACAACAGGAACATCAACCTTCAAATTCGCTCCATCTTCAGCCCAAACAAACACCAAGTTCAAAATATTCCCACTCTCTTTATCCTTATGAATCTTGATAGGTAACATGGTTCCTCTTTCAAGCAAATGGGTGGATCCGGATCCAGCACGAATCTGGAGCGGAAAACGGGTGGAACAGAAGAACGGTGCTTCAATGGAATTGAGCACTGCCTTAATCTGCTTCTTCTCGACGGTGAGTAAATGTTTCCTTAACGTGGATCGTGAGTCAGGGGTATTATCAAGAAGGTTCTGGAAGAAAACGACGGCCGGTATTCGACCTTGCATTCTGTCTCTGGCTGCGACTTTACTGCCGGTGCTTTCTCTCATTTGTGGGTTTCACATGCTCTTGAGATTTTCGTTTTCTGTCATTTCCATGTGTGTAACCTCCTCCCGTGTTGTCTTTATCATTTTCGTTTCTGTTGTTGTTATCATAAGGAGCCTGTTGCTGATATTGTTTGCTTTTCCTTCCGAAGTTTCAATGTTTGAACATTATCAAGAGCAAACTCCACGATAGGCCGATGTTCAGGACCAAAAGTTTCAGGATTATTGTTAAGAACTCCCAATGCAACAAGGGCATTCTGGTGTTCTGAAAATTCAAGAAAGGCGACTCCCCGGGAATACTGTTCTTGAGTAGCCTTTCCTTTCCTTCCATCTTTCAAAAGCTTTATCCGTCGAATCACTGGTTTTTGCTTGGTAGCTCTAGAGATGACTGCATCAATGCAAAGCTTCTTTAATTGTTTTTCAGTCTTTGACTTAGGTAAGTTGTAGATAACAAGTCTAGTTTTTGAAACATGAAAATTTGGAGATTGAAGCTTCGTCTTCTTTTTCCTTTCTAACTCTTTGCGTTTTGCCATATCACTGGCTGAAACTCCTTCAGCAGCTGGAGTCCCCTCAAGAATAAGTCCCTCCTTTGCCAAGTAAAGATTGCGGTGGTCATGAACCTCGTTTTTTTCTTTCTCCTGTTCCTTGTCATGAGCTGTTTTCTTGTCCAGAGCTTTTAAAACTTTTAATGGTCTACCCTTCACTAAAATACCCATCCCAGAAGCAGCATTGGCAGTTGAAATTGCAGCATTAGCTGCTTCAACGGTTTTAAACTTAAGAAAACCAGTTCCTCGTGGACGCTTGGTCAATTGGTGGAGAACAGGAGCAAAATATTCTACTACTCCAAATGCAGAAAATCGTTGCTTCACTTCTTCGGTATCACATTCAAAGGGAAGATTATTTATAAAAATTGTTCTTTGCAGATCATCTTCTGTTTCCTTAGGGTTAGATAACCTGCTAGAAGTCTCAGACTTAGAAGTAGCTAAAACTTTGTCAGACTCTTTAGGCGCTTCACTAATGGCATCCTTAACAGTTTCCTCAGATTTTGGCTCCTTATTTTCTTCGGAACACATAGAATCCGTATTTACAGATGCATTTCTAGCAGAGGAGGATGTAATCAAATTGTTAAGAACCTTTCTTGCAATGTCTGCTTCCTTGTCAAAATCATCTTCAGAAGGAACATCTTCCTCCACTACACCATCAATATCACTATCATCTCCTTCATTAGATTGTTTGTTGGTATCCTCAACATCATCATCTGTAGTAGTACTACCATCTTCATCTGACGCCTTTTGTTGTCCTTCCTCTGAAGCGGGAGCATCATTGGCATCACTACTAAATATCTTTTTTGGAACAGCCCAATCAACAGCTATGAGACGACTCCTATTCACGAATGGCTTTTATTCTCTTTAGAGCATCTTCAAGTAACAGAGGCTCACTCCGAGCAAGAGTGGTTAATATGCAAAGCTCCCTTGCAGGACTTTCTGTAAAGTGTTCCTCAAGTGCTTTCCTTATGGCCATCAAAATCGAAGAAACCTTGTTATCAGCATTACAATTTTCAAGGGCTCCAGCTAGCATAACATTAGCAACCTCTGAACAGGGAACATACACATGATTTTTGTAGAGTTTCTCTATAACATTTTCATTCTTTATGGAACAAACAAACTCAGTTATGTAACCCAGATTGTTGACCTGCCTGACAAATTCAAAAGCAGATTGTGAAAATGCTTGCCAACCACAATAATCAACAATTACATTGAAATTTATCCTATGCCTCCTGACCATGAGTAACGCATCTCTAAATCGCTTTTGAGTTAAGGCATTAATGATAGAAACCAGAACCAATTTTCTAGGGTATATACATTCTAGGTTTCCTCGAGTAGTTTGCACTATAGTGGCAGCTTCATCTCCATGTAAAACTCCAACAATTTTAGCACCTCTCTCCCATATATGTATGTAGTTTTCATTTTCTTCCTTTTTTCTGCTGTTACTGCGGATGAAATTTCCATACTTTAAGTCAAGCTCCCCATTAAATATATCAACGATGTCAACAATAAAAAGAAGATCTTGCTTAGTTGCAAGAATTAGATGTGTTATTACTTGGTCTGCCAAATTTGAGTAAAATGAAAAAACTGCTGCAGTTGTTGCAAACCACTATACCCCCGCTAGTATGCAATTTGCCAATCTCATCCAGTCCAAAAAGCACTGGTTTTGACTGGCCAACACTTCCGATCAACGCTACACCCATCCAAGGGCAGACTACGGAAAATCCTTGAAATTCTTGCTCTTGAGATCCACCACCAGTCCCCACTTTTGATAAATATTCTTTGATTTTACCCTCAGAAAACTGCATAAATGCTGAAGATTTACTAGCAGGGTTTGGAGCAATGCCAATAACAAGCTCTTTAAGGGTATTTTGTTTTGAAACTGTTGCGTGCCAGCCAGAACATGTCAGCAATCCTGGAACAATATCCTCAGAACATTCAAGTTCTATTTCCTGCAAAAAGAAGCCTGGAAGTGCATCCTTATTGAGTGATGTTTGGAATAAGTCATTGCTGTGACTAAAACCATAATGTGAAATAGATAACAGCTTATGTGAATCCAACCATACAAGATGTAATATGGATCCGAACACCATTTCAGTATGAGAGGCTTCAACACTGAATTTTTTCCCCTCTAGTTCTTCCCAGGTTTCAATTGATGGAAGCTCTACAACACATAAACTACCATCTGAAAGAAATGCAGCTAACTTGTTCTTGGAGTTTTTACAATATACAGCCATACCCCGTACATGGGAAGAAAATTTTAGACTAAATAAATACATAGGAGGTGGCATTAAAGATAAGGAAAGTGGTGTTACGTGAATATTGGAGCCATCAATGACTAGTGCAACGGAATTGTCCATAACAGCTGTGATCCAAACAAAGTTGTAAACTGTAACCTGACCACCAAGAGTCCAACAAATCAACTGCAAAGGTTTTTCTTGATTCCATATGAACCCGACTTCATCTTGCTTCAAGTATCTAATTTCATGCTTCATGTACCAATGATTGTTGCTAAAATACCATATCTTTATAGCATCATAACTTTCACATTCTACAACACCCGCAAGAAGATCAGAACTGCAATTCCACTTCAGAAATTTTACTTTTGCATTAACTCCTTCACCAACACTAAACTTGCTTCTTTCCAAACCATTCCTCTCAAAGAAAACAATTGAAGGGCATTCATTTTCAGCTTTTCTGTCATATACAGCTGCAATTTTAGCACCACTGGGCATCCACTCCAAAACTGCTCCAGCAAAAGTTTTTTCATCCGAGGAAGCAAGCAATTCCCCTGAATCTCGATCCCAAACCTTAAGTTTCCGCAAAAAAGTAGAACTACACACGCTCATCGTAGCAAAGTACTTTCCATCTCCTCGCCAAGATATCGGATGTTGCTCAAACCCACCCTCCAAAAAGTTTTCTCCATTTACGTGATGGCCTTGAGGAACATCATCATCAACAACAAGTGGTGTTTCATACAACAAATCCCAATCATGAGTCATAACCAAAATCTGACCAAAACCAGTAATTATAGCAATAAGTTCACCATCAGGACTAAGGGAAATGTAGTTGACACCACCATCCAAGTTACCAACAACTTGAGTTGTGTTAGCGTCAACATCATAAAGCAATAAAAGCCCGTTGGAAGTTCCGAGAAGAAGCGCTTCTTTCTCCATAAGATAATCAAAAGAAGTAACACTGTCATCGGGTTCGAGATCAACGCTGCCATAATCTGTAGATAACAATGAGGCATTACTCCAAGCTTCTTTATCATGGAAGGAAGATAGATGGTAAGTGTAGATGAAATTGTGGGACGAGAGGAAGAAGAGACGGTTGCGTTCGATATCTAAGGCGGCGAATCGAAAAGTTTCGTCGTCGGAGGTTAATCGGAGAATGAAAGGAACCTCACGGAAGAGGTTTAGGTTTTTCATTTTGAAACCCTAAAACCCTTCGCCGCCGGTGAGATACTTAACCGATAGTATGGTTTATAATTTTAACACTCGAGAGAGAGAGAGACTTAATAGAGCACACAGTGCCAATATCTTTGGCTTGACGGTGAACATCTTCAGCCATGGCAAAATTCATGAGAACACCAAATATAACTGTTCTAGCAACCCTCTGCTTTTCTGAGCCACCCCCCTCATCTGCTACATTATTACAAAGAGCTGCTTTTTTTATTTCCACAGGCTTCCTTGAGTTTTTTTGTTTATTCAAAACTGTCCCTTCTTCTTCCTTTGGAACTGGAACAGGCTTCTCTGCTACAGGTAATAAACTGTCTTTATCATCATTTTTTGACTCTGTGAGATCATTGTCCTTGCCCTCTTGATCTGGTTTCAATCTTCTATTTTCACGGGGAGGACGGGGCATTGCGTGCTTCACTGCAATTTTTCGGCCACCAACCAATGAACTGTTCTTCAGCTCAATGGCACTGTTAGCGTCTGCCTCAACAGCAAATTGGACATAACCAAAACCGCGATGTTGAGTAGACCCTTTTTGTGTTACCATGAAGCAACGCCTAACAGGTCCAACTTCACTGAAAGTTTCCTCAAGCTGAGGGTTTGTAAAGGAGTAGGGTAAGTTGGAAACAAAGAGAGTCAAGGGGGATTGTTTTAAGGTGCCGTCGCCATTTTCATTCCTTGTTTTGTTTTTCTTACCCATGTCTATAACCCTAAGTGGTTGAATAGATGAAGGTGCGAGTTTCTGGGAGTGATGAAAATGGAGGTTAGCGGTGGTTGGTTATGGTGGTTTGTGTGGGTTGATTTCCAGCAAAGGGAGAAGAGGGTTAGCTGAGGGAGAAGATGAATGTGAGGGTTAAGATGATGAAACTCGAGGGAGGAAGGATAAAGAGTGATCGGCGACGGTCTTTTCGTAGGGGGAAAGGAAAAATGGAAAGAAGAAGATGATGGGAAAGGGTTTGTCGGCTGGGAGAAAGAGAAGAGATTTTCAGCAAATGGTCAGAGAGGAAGATTGAGAGAGTGGTTACTCGGGTGTTTCGGCAGCTGGGAGAAGAGAAAGGATTTTCCGTTAGGGTTTGACGGCCCGGTCCTCCCCTCATGAACAGTAACGAATCCCCTTTATACATCCAAACCATAACCCTAATTTAATTTTCCTCCCGCCTCTCTCTTCCTTTTTTTTTATTTCTTTTTAATTAATTCTGTTTTCTTTTTCCCTTATTTTAAAACCTTTCTATTTTAAACTAAACTATACTAATTCTAATTAACTTATTCTAAACTAAATTATTCTAGATCTAACTTAGATTCTAATTAATTTAATCCTAAAACCTAATGTAAATTTTAATTAATCTAATTAATAAATAAAGATAACTACAAATAATGCCACGTGTCACAAATTTATTGGACAAAAAGTGAAAAATACGTTAAGTTGTACACGCAATGCAAATTGAAAAAATAAAGTCGGGCTAATAAAAATTTTCAAAAAGGTAGGACAAATTTGGGGTATGACACCATGCAAGGTGCTATGCTGCATTTTCTGCACTACTTTCCTATGCTATTTTTCTGCAGCATCTTGTGCCTTGCACCCATTTTGTTGGCTTGTGCTTGGACAACTCCTCTTGGTCAATGCTACCAATTCTTGACAGTATTTTGAAAATTCTGATGTGTAGAAGCATTGTCACATGTTATGCCTTTGGTCTTGTGATATGTAGATTTTGTGACATGAGGAAATTTGTCACTTTTGCATGGGACTATTTTGCTTATGATTAACATGCATAATCTTGGTCTTAAAACAATCCAATGTTGATTTAATCCTTACATATTTCTTGGATGTTTGTAAGCATAAGGTGGACTTGGTGTGGCATGAATTTGATTAGGAGCTTGAATGAAGATTAGAAATAAATTCTAATCATTACTTAGAGTTGGATATATTGTAACAAATGACATTCTTGTAATGTCATAAAGTTTCTCTTGGTAATATTCTTGCCTCTAATCTTGAATTCATGATGGATTTTCTTAGAACCATTAAGCTTGAAATGGATGAAGTCTTGAACTATGGACTTGTGATCTTAACTCATGCTTTTGCAAATTTGGACTCCAATTGATCAAGAATTTGAAACAAAATTGGATGAAGCAATCTTGAATTTGGCCTTGAATTTCATGTTCATTAGGATTATATTTTGAATATCCTAATATTTTGCCAAGTAACTTCTTCTTGAAGAAATCCACATGAGTAGACTTTCCAATTTATATCAAACCTTAGATAATGGACCTTTTCTTCTATGTAGTCTAAGATAGACAAGTTATTTCATGGAAAATGGAAAAATGACAAATCGACCCAATCCGTACCCACATGCTCGATATGCAATAAAATGATGTATGGTATGGCGAATGTAGGGTATAAAGGCTAAAGGCGAAAATGAGGGTGTGACAGCACTTGCTGTCATAAATCCTTGTTTAACATTGTGCCAAGTCCATTTTGAATCAATTTCATTAATTTTGCAACTGCCAAGATGATTGGTGTTGGATTTGATTTGTGAATGTTGCTGGTTTTGTTTAGCCCAGGTGTGATTAAAGCATTACTTGCATTTGAGACTTTGATGGATTATGCATTGTGTGACATGTTGATAGGAACATTTTGTTTAAGTCAGTTTGAGGCCAACGTTTAGGCCTGCAGTTAGAGCAGAATGTCAAGTCTGGCCAGTTTTACATAAATGCCATTTGTGATGAGCATGTTCATGATTGATGCTTGTCAACTGTTAGAACACATATTTCTTGCTGAATATTCTGCATCTGTCTTGTGAAGCATGATTGAATCTTATCATCGAATTGCTTGCTAGTACCATAGTTTGCATTGCTTTGAATTTTTCTGTCAAACTATACCATGTTTTCTCTATGCTGCCATGACTTAGCAGTCCCCTAGGTCTTCAATATTTTGCTGACAGTGTGGCTTAGTAGTTCCTAGGTGTTGATCCATTTTGTGTTCAAACTCTTGGTATGTTGGAATTGATCAATTTGAGATTTTTGTATGTCTGCTTACTTTTTTAAAAGTATGATTGTTGAAGTTCCATGTGTAGGCTGTTAAAACAATTTTTGAATGATACATCATAATTGTTTTCCCTTTTAACATCATTTCAAAATTTTGCAACATAATAGTCATGCTTTGATGTAGTAAGAGTTTGAGTTATGTCTTTGGATGAATCTCAATATCAAACTGTTTAGAGTTTGTATAGACCCTCCTTTGTTTGCAAACACATCTGTTTTGATCCATGATTTCAAAAATTCTCCTTAAAAGCCTCACTTGCATTTCCATTCGTGTTTTAATTTGTGTGTATCTTTTGAAAAAATGGACAACACCCTTGTAATCCTCGTGAAAAATTAAGCAGGATAGACATTTATTTCATGGAATTTGGTTGAGAATTGGTAAAGTTGTGATCAAATCGTTTTTGGAAGTCTTCACTTGAGTTTTGCCTTGCCTTGAGGCTTGCCCTGGAATCACACGCCCTTTGATACATGTATTAATGGGGTGGCGTTATACAACAAATGTATCGCCACCCCAGTGGTTAGAACCCCACTCTTAAGACCTTGTCTGACCTTGTGAACCTCTGTTCGACCCCCAATGGGGGCGTTTTTGTGTTATTTTCATTTTATTTCTTTGTTTTGATATTTTATTTTCCTTTTCCACTTGTTTAACATGCGTGAGAGTGGTCTGGTTGGTTATGTGTTGTGCTCGCAAGGGTTCAACTCTTGGTGGGAGCATTTCCTTATTTTTAACACTTGCCTTCTTTTTATTTATTTTATTTTATTTCCTTCTTTTCTTTTCTTGGTTTTATTTTATTTATCTAAAATTAGTTTTAAATATTATAAAAAAACCAAAAAACTTATTTTATTATTTTAATGTGTTTTGTTTTATTTTCCATCCTTTTATTTTATTTTATTTTCCTTTTTATTTTATTTTATTTTCCTTTTTATTTTATTATTTTTATTTTGAATCTACAAATTTATTTTCTTTCTCTTTTCACTTGTGAGTGAATTATCTATGTCACACATTTTTTGAAATCCTCCATCCAACAAATTTGATGTGGGGATCATTATGGTTTCCTCTAGGCAATTGGAATTCATTTTTGTTGTTATGAACTATTTCTCTAAATAGATTGAGACAATGTCGGTATCGAAGATCACTGATTGGGTGTTTTTACTAGAAGAAACATTTACAAATTTGAGCATCGTCTCCAATAATGAAACTCAACTCTCCAAATCAACAATAAGAGAATCTTGCCATAATTTGGAAATCCAAACCAATTTGTCTCGATGAAACATCTTTAAGCCAAGGAATCAAGTCGAATCTTCCAACGAAATCATCCTTTATAACATTAAGAAAAAACTAAAAAAATCCAAAGGGTATATGGTCAGAACAACTATGAGGTATAATTTAAATCTCTACGCTTCTTGGAACAAAATATTATTTTCACTTCAAGCCTTTATTTAATTAGCATTTTGTTACTGAGTTATAGGTTTTATGGTCGTATCACATGACACTCCAATCCTCTACGAAGGAAACACGATATTAAGTATTGTATGGTTCATATGTCATGCTACTCATGGATAAAGATCGATCTTCTCCACCTCCTACAGACCAATCTCACAAACTAAACAATCCTTTTGCTGAGAGATTGTTTAGTTTGAGTACAAAATTTGCAGCATGAAAAGTTTGAGTACAAAATTTGCAGCATGAAAATATCTGCTCAATCATAAGATTGTTATGGATGTCATAAAACCATGGCTTACCATCAGCAGCTTCCTCAATGGCGAATATGAAAGCGGGTCTGTCAAGGCGTGAGATGACTATTCTTGGAGCATCATTCCAATAGTTCACCTTGTACATCGAAGATAACGTCGCCAGAGCGTCTGCCATTTGATTCTCCGTTCGCGGCACATGGTGAAACTCTACCTTATCAAAGAAAGGTAACAACCTCCTTGTGTAGTTCATGTACGAAATTAGATTAGGCTGTTGAGTTTCCCATTCTCCCTTGATTTGATTAACAACTAGCGTTGAATCGCCGTATACATCCAAATTCTTAATCCTCAGATCAATGGCTTCTTCTAAACCCATGATGCACGCTTCGTACTCGGCTTCGTTATTAGTGCAGGGAAACGTTAACCTGGAAGTAAAGGGGATATGAGATCCATGAGGAGTCGTGATAATTGCCCCGATTCCACTACCATACGAGTTAACAGTGCCATCAAATATCATCTGCCATTGAGAACCCTTCTCCGGACCTTCATCGGGTAATGGCTCATCGCAGTCTTTCATCTTCAGAAACATGATGTCTTCATGAGGAAATTCGAATTTCATCGGTTGATAATCATCAATCGGCTGTTCAGCAAGGTATTCTGACAAAACACTCCCCTTGATAGCTTTATGGGAAACATATTAGATATCGTACTCTGTCAGCACCATCTACCACCTGGTAATTCTTCCTGAAAGTGCTTGTTTCTCAAAGATGTATTTAATCGGATCCATCTTCGAAATCAGCATGGTTGTATGATTCAGCATATACTGTCTTAAATGTTTGGCAGCCCACGCGAGTGTGCAACACGTTTTCTCAAGCATTGAGTACCTGGACTCACAATCTGTGAACTTTTTACTCAGATAGTATATTGCATGCTCTTCTCTACCAGTCACGTCCTGTTGACCGAGAACAC